CATTAATATTAAATTATTTTTTCTCTGTATTTTTAATTTAAATTTCAAATACTTCTTAGTATATATGAATAACAAAAACTGGATATTTATGTGTAGCAACATATTTAATCTTTGTCATATAAAATATTATTGCTACAAACTATACCAAATAATGTAATAAATTGAAATTGTATGTGTGTACAGACCAAAATACAGCAAAAATGATATACAATAAATCAATACAAAATTAAATTATAATACACTATTGCTGTACTTACTTCAATATTTCCCATTGTTTGAAATGCTGTAAATACCAGCATAAATCCCCAACTTAATATCATCACATTTAAGAAATTTCTACTTAACGCCATGATGAATACGTTAAATAAAATACGTTAAACAAGAATAAAAAAATGATAAAAAAAAATGTCACAGATTTTCCGCGCGTACGTTTATATTGCTTTGTACGAAATTATGTATTAACAGTAAACAGATGGTCACATAGGTAAGAAATCCAACATACAATTGCCAACACTGCGTAATTCCCTTCTTAATACGATTTGAAGTTACCGTGAAAGTACACTGAATATTTATCGATCACATGACACGTTGCGATGGTATGAATATCGATATATCGATACCTTATATAGTATAACTCATCGATGGTTCTATATGAAATGGTGCACAAAACGTACGATGTATATGAAATGCCATTCGCCATCGTACGTATCGTACGCCATTTCTCATAGAACCAACGTCGATATACTTTTGCGTTAGTTCTAGGGGTTTGACAAAAATCGACGAGACTTATTGTACATATACACTAAATCAGGTTATGATTATAGTAACTTTTTGTTTCGAAAGCAAAGCATTTTAAATAAATCGTTTATAGATTTTGACAATAAATATACTGAAGTTTTATTTTGTATCACCAATTACAATGAAAACAAATACTATTTAAATAAAAAAACACACATAATCTTTCTAATTTTGTTAAATACTCTATTAATACCATATCATTGTTCTGGCTTTAGAAAGTGATTGTTTTAAATTTCCCGCCTTTAAAAAAATCTCTCGTTCTATATGAAATCTCACTGATTGTGAGAAACAAGAATGGCTGACGGCGGCCATAAAAACTTATTGGGTATCCCGTTATTAAAAATCTGAAGAAGTGTTGGATGATTAAAGTTGTGAAAAAGAATGCATAATATCAAAATCTTTACTCGGTTTCTTGAGTGCATTAAACAACCACTGGTGAACAAGTATACAAAATGTCACGATTAAAATTTGTGAGGTTTTGACACGTTTACAAATTGAAGATCTTAATAGTGAACCTTAAAACATTCTTTGAGAGTGGAAACTCATTGATATTACAGAAGGATAAAGTAGTTAGAACGTACTATTCGTTCGCAGAGGGTGTGAGATCATTGTACAAACATTATGACGAATTGCTGGCTTTGGAGTGATACGAAGGATTCTCTCCTTTTTTATTGTCTGCGTTTCTTCAGTGTCGTGTGATTGTATTAAACATGTGTGCATATGAACATCGTTAAAGTCAGCAAGTAACAAGTGATTCTAATCCCGTAGATTAAATTTTAATTTTATTTGCATAACAAACGTTAAGTGCTTCTCAATCATGAAGAAACAATTTTTCAGAGTTAAACAGTTCGCCGATCAAACATTTTCTAGGTAATCACTTTGCAATTGGATTTAAATTTCACCTAAAGTTATAGTATGTTTCATTTGTTTACATGAATTTTTTTTGCAAATCACGATTGGTTAAAAATGACATTAAACACTTTTAAATAAAGTATGAAATAATTTACATGCATAAAATAATTAAAATGACGTTTTAATATTTCATAATACAATACTAAAAGTATTTACTATTTTTATTTACAATTTTGGAAGTAAAACATTATAATATTCTATGAAAGCAGTCATAGTACACCAAAATAACTTATGAATCAGACATTCTCAAAATGGATTGACTTTAAAGTATACTATATTTATTTTTAATTGAAATTTGTTAATGTATGAAACTGTTAAAAATCATTATGTTTTAATAGAGCTGGCAAAACTGAAGTACTTACAGATGATTTACAAGCTGCAGATAAACATGTAGAGCAAATTAGGATGGCCCTTATTGGATTAAACAAAAGACTTGGTAATCCATCAAATCAAGCTATGACACAAGACATTGCACTTAAGGAAAAGCGATTGGTAATATATAATAATAAAACTTTCTTCTTGAAAGTAATTATAACAAATTGTTTAAAACTTGTACTAACTACAATTATAAACTTGGAAATATTAAATAATATATGAATATTGCATTATTCATATTTTAAATACATAACAGTTAGAGAAAATATTAATTATTCTTTTATCTTTTTATAATTTATACTTTTCAGAAAAAGTGTCCAGAATATATATTAGGACAAACAATGTTGGAAAATGCTCCTGAAGATGGTCTTATGAATTTTACTTTATTGGAATGTGGTCATGCACAGATGCATTTAGCAAATGAAGCAATTGAACATGAAGCAAAAGTTGAACAATATGTTGCAATTCCTCTTCAACATATTTTAGATACAGTTGTACCAAATATACTAAAACATAAAAGAAATTTGACTCGATTAATTTTGGACATGGATAGTGTTAGGACAAGATATCTACAAGCCAGCAAGCATAGTGCTAGTAACAAACAATTTTAGTGATTTGTAAATTACATATTTTGAAAATTATATTTAAGTTTTTAAAGTAATATTATTATTTAAAAGGTGCAGGTGCAACGAAGATAGATAATTTAAGAGAAGAATTAGAAGATGCAGAAGCTAAAGTTGAACAATGTAGGGATCAGTTAGCTGCAGAAATGTTTCAACTTATGTCACAAGAAACTGAATTAGCACACACTATTATACAATATGTAAAACTTCAAAGAGCTTATCATGAAAGTGCTCTGCATTGTCTTGAAGAACTTATTCCTGGATTAGAAAGCTACATTAGTAAGTATTTAATTATGTCTTTAATGATATGTTACTACCATTATTTTACAATGTAGAAATTTAATTAATAATTTTTATGTGAAAAACAAACGAAACTAAAAAATTAGCCCCATAAAACACTTCAATTTTGCCTGTTAACACTTCATGATATTACCAATGTTTTTGGAAATATTCAGTTACTACACTTTATATGTCCTATCCAGTATATTCAAAAATATATGAGTTCATGAATATTTTAACTAATTTAATTAAAAGTTAAACAAAAATTGGTATTTCTAAAACTTTGACTGGTATTGATAACAACAATAAAAGCAGTATTTTAGATTTATATTAAAACATTTAAA